TCTTCGCTTTGTTTCCGGGCACTCTCGCGGTTCTGTTACGTCGGAGAGGTATGTGGAGCAGTTCGGCATGATCGTCGGCACTGCGTCTGAAGTGAGCCTCGTGAGGCCCATTAGAAACTCAATGGTCTTCCCACTTGCGTCAGTACAGGTTGTCGTTGTTTGGAGGTACTCGGCTTTGAAGTGCAGCTCACATACCTGCAGAATTGCCATCTTCTTATTTGTAGTAACATTAAGGTAGCTCTCTTCTCAGCATGCAATAGAACACACACGAAAAGAAACGGCCGAATGACTGTAGGCTCTCTCCTTTCCACTTCTTTGCTAATTTCAAATCAGTTCTCGAGCGCGGTTCGGTTGTCAAGTGAACCATTAAAAAGTGAGCGCGCCGAAACTATTCACAGAGGTGTCTCTAAGTGGCGCATTTATCATTCTCAAATTTCGGGAGTGTGGGTTCGCAGCAACTAAAACAAGGAAGAAAAAACGCAATCTCAATATGCACGGGGAGAGCATTCGTGAGAAAACAGTCTGCTTGATGCTGCCATTCACAAATGGCTCCACGACGCCTGACGAGGTTATACGCATAGAACTACGGTTGTCGTGTGATCAGGTACATCTGAAACGGTAGTGGATAACCTTTTCAAATGTGGTGGTGCCATCTGTGAGTAGCAGCATCAAGCAAACTTTGTTATCGTTTGTTTTCCCCGTGCATAGAGATGATTTGAGAAACACAATGAATAAAACATGTAGGGACGAAGACAGACAGTTTTTCGAGATGTAGCTTTTTATTTTCTTTTTTGTTTCTGGAAACGAAATTTGAGTATGATAACTAAATGAAGAATTTCATTGTGCTCACTTTATTGGCTGATTTAAACGGTTCATTTTAATTACGACCGAACCGCGCTCGAGAACCCCTTACGCATTTTTATTTTAAGTCATCAACGCTAATTGAGCAAAGTTGTTTCCCTGCAGCCTACGTCAGTGTCTGATTCAAAATTAGTTATAGATATATTGAATGAATAAAGAAATCGCGTACTTACGGATCCCGTAGCGTGTCCAAGTCGACGTCATCTTGACGGACGGGTCTCTTCCACTGGGCTTTCCGAGCCGGATCTTTTGGCAAAGGAAGATGTACGAACCTTGGGCCCGTTCTTATGATATGATCGACAATTTGGGACACAACAACAACCCATCGTGGTTCCGAAACGCAAACAAAACCCGGCACGCCAAATGGAGCTCACGCCGGAAGAGATGCGGACGGCGTAGCAGCTCCCCAGCGCCGAGGCTAGATCGGGGTACGTGACGTCAGCGCCGTGGGAGAGGGAAGGTGAACGGGCCTTAGTTTCTAGGGGGTGTTGGTTCAGTCCCGTCGTCGTCAGCTGATGCGGTCCAGCTGGTCCGGGAGGACGCAGCAGCGTTTTTAAAAGTAAATCTTCCTTCGTTCCGTTTCAAAATGTGGAAGTATCCCGATGCATACCGTGAGTAAAAACCTGCGGGTGTTTTCAAGAGAATTACGTCGCTTTAATTGAACAATAGACTCCGGATTCTTGTCCTAAATCTGCCGTTTTTATGTTTCCTATTGGACTGCGTTTGCACAGCGATGTGTTTGCACAGTGACGCACACCGCTCGAGTAGATGATTCGGTCCTGCAAACGACCGGTTATACAAAATTTCAGGGAAACTGAAGTCACCACCGATATTTTCCTGTTACTCTCTTGTGAGTTTGTTGCGCTCATCATGCGGTGTGAATAAATTATGGTAAGATGTCCTACCTGCCCACAGATGCGTGAACTGAGACCATTTGTTATGTAGTGAACATAGTGTTTTTTTTGTTTTTTTATCTTGAGACGAGGCGTTGGTGCCTCCGCGGCTTGTCGCCAGCTGATCCTGCTGCTCGACGGTGAGGAAGCGGCGAGAGTGACCTCTGAAGTAAATGTAAATCGTCGTCCATCCAGTTATCCAGTGTCAAAGTGTGGAGAATGTCCAACGTGTACTGAGGGTGGGAACTACGAGCGTTTTGCCTTGCTTTTGTAACCGAAACCAGAGCAGCTAGATAACTGCCTTGCGTACTCCAAAATGACGGAAGCAATAAGTTTGAACAGGTCGAGTACGTCACCGGGGATGTAGGCGAGACGTCGCAGACTGTTTAAACGCTTGCAGTATCCACGAGTGATACCATGAAAACGACGTCAACAGAGAAGGCGCTCGCGATTCAGCATAGTGCAGTGCTACGGGCCCATGAATCTTCAAAGTTTGTGGTGGTGGCAGTATAAAAATAAGACGCATCAGCGCCACACCAGTGATCACGAAGAACAGCGATCACGAACTCCCAAGCCCCGCCGCTCCAGTTGTCACCGACACGACATACGACAACAAACTGCATCAAAACGCCTCAAAAGTGAAGGCGTCTGCTCCCGTACTGCAACTAGCGGATGTGAAGTGTTGGGCGGATGTCCTTCCCAAGAATATATAAAAAAGCTTTGCGCGAAGATCATTTTCATTTATTATTAAATACATAATAATTAAATCCCGATAACTTGTTTTTATATCTGATTGAAGCTTGTCGAACCGTTCATAGCACTGGTCGAGCATAAAAATAACAGAACAAAAATTTCAACTTTTTCATGACCGGTTTTAGATTTATTGTTAATCAATCGTCATTTTTCGCAACGGACTAACATTATATATTTTGCCTCCGTACTTTTTAAATGCAAACAGTTCTTACATACGGCTGTCTAACGGTCAGCGACCAAAGAGCTCGCCCGCACTTGTCAAGCGTATTTACGCCCCGGGGAGGAAAGCATGTTGAGTAGGAAGTGCCGGGCGCTGTGTCGTTGTTGTGTTTTTGTATATGTGGGTGATGTGTAGTGCGTGGTACTAGGGTTGTCTGCGATGTATTTAGGGTTGGTGTCTGCTCGTGATGGTCTGCAGCGTATTAACAGACTCGTTTTCTTGTTTATGGGCAGCTAGAAGTTTCGCTAGGTGGCGTAAGTTACCGCCCGACTTCAAATTATTTGCTGGAGTTATTGATCTATGTAAACTCGGCGTTCGTTTTTTTTTTTTTTTTTTTTGTCCAGCGGTTCTCTTGTAGCTACCGACACCGCCGACGACGCACATACGTACCTTTGCACGTAGCTACGTCCACCGCTTGGAGACTGTTTACTGTGTTTAAAAGACATCGAACGGTTACAAGCGCGTCCTGCGTGCTCCCAATTCGGCTGAAAGGCGCGCGGCTCGCTGGGCTCGTCTCTCGCCTGTTCTCGGCTGCTGGCCGCCATGTTTCATGGCCAACACGTTCAGCCGTGTTTCGCGGAAGGCGACAATGCAAATCGGGCGACAATGGAAATCAATATTTGAGCACACGGTTGAATGAGATCATGAAGCGAAGGGGTGTTTGGGACCACTAGGCAGTTAGTTCCTTATCGCCCAGTGGGTCAAGTCGTGGAGCATCACAGCTGCCCCGTCAAGGAGTGTCTCCTTGAATACTGCGACAATTACCGAGACTGCGTCTGACACATTGTCGAAATAGCCTTTGCCATGGGGTAGTCGGAGAGCGTGACGACTGGGTACACGCCAGAAATACCTTGCCATCGAAGATAACTTCGTACCTTATGAGAAACTTAACGTAAACCGGACGACTGGGACCAACTGGATGCGGAGGCACAGAGTTTTGCAGTTAAACGTTCACAAACCCTTCAGTTCATGTCGGTTATCAACAGTAGGCCAAAGCAACTCAAGAACGTCACTTCAACGAGCAGAAGAAGCCATGTGCGTCTAAAGTAGGCTATCTAGTTTCAGAAAATCGGTACATATTAAGTGAGCCGACTATGAAAATCGCAGCAAAGCCTGCGGCTCGTACGTCAGCCCCCGCTCGTAGTACCCGAAAAACTCTGCACCAAGGACTTTTTCCTTGGTAATTGGGGGATCGGTGGCCGAAGGGGCTAGCGCACACCAGCTCGGAGCACGTGGAGCGAAAGCTCGCGCTGCAGAACCCAGGATCCTGGGCTCAATTCCCACCCCTGCCCGTTTCGATCTGGATGAGCACCGTACCGGCGTACGGTTCGGTATCACTACTGCGTGATGCACTTTAAAGACCCCAGGCTAGCGGTTGTACTGCACTGGCTAAATTTTTTATGTACAGCTGAGAGACTCGTCGCCCGTTGAGGCAATCCATGTTCTAGGCTGTATAAACCTACACACAACCCAATATTTTGTTTGGTAATCTCATGTCTGGGGCGCAGTGTGGAATAAATCTCGGGGTGGTGAGCTGGGCTATTTGGTAAGAATTATACATGGTTAAAGTCAGCGAACAACTTAAGGAAACTGTAGAAGAAAACAGGAGACAAGAAAGAACAACGTAAGGAAATTGTAGAAGAATAGAAGAGACAGAAAAGACGGTCAGCGTCTTTCCTGTCTCCTGTATTCTTCTACAATTTCCTTGCGTTGTTCCTTGACTGTATGCATGTAAAACAGCTCCCGCTTTACCACCCTGTGTGGTCCCCATCAGTCACCGACTATTCACATTTCGAGGAGGAGGAATGTTGTAAGAAACGATGCGGCGGAACGCACGTGGTATTAAGATAACGAGTGTTCCGCTCTAGCCCGTGATGCACACAGAATAAGTAAAACTATAGAATAAATGATAGGCTTCCGTTGAACCTGACAGTTTCCATGATCGTGATTGATCATAATATCTATATTTTTGATAATATTTTTAGTAAGTTAAGTGATAGATTGGTAGATACATGTAGTCAAAAGCGGTCAACTTGTATGTTTTTCGGTATTTTACGAAGATGTTAGCGCCTAAATACATCTGCAACAAATTAAAATTTGAATATATGTTAACATTCAGTTTTCCCGTAGCTCCTGTTTTCAAGAGTTCGGTATTTTAGCCACTTACTTATGTTAATTCCTTGCAAAAAAGTTTTTTTTTTTTAATCTTTCTAATCGCATTTTGACCGTAATTTTGCATCTGAAATTAAAGTTGATCGCCTTTCTGTTCTTAGCCTCTATAATTTTAGGCTCCAAAAGACACACAGCCAGTCCATGCGACGACTTTTACGACTATGTCTGCAAGGCATTGCCTACTGGGACGAAAGACTACAAGGGTCGCACAACAGAAGATCCGGAGAAAAAGCTCCAAGCCGAGTTAATGCGTGAGTGTCCTCAATGAAAGGCCAAATAAACAAGTGTCGGTTCAAATCGAGAAAATTCAAGACCTAAAAATGAAAAAATTACGTTATGCGAAATATATCTTACTTATTGGATCGAGTTTTTAGTTACGTGTTCTGTGAGCATACATTACATTAGTAATATGAGGTCCATTACCCTGACAAAAATAATACTTCTCGCCTGCGTCTTGGAAAAGTTTTAACATGCATAAATGCGCTAACTCCAGAGTTTCAAACCCTAGAAATATAGAGAAATAGAACTCAATATATTTAAATATTAAAGCTTCTCTTAGAAAGGTATGTAATGTTTATACAATAAAAGTTATATTCGCAATAAATTACACTTAGCTTAGACTTAATTAGGTTCTCGTTAATATCAACTTCTCGTCAACAACACAATAAAATCGACACATCACATGCAAACAGTTCCATTTTTTCCCCAATGTCATGCCTTGATGGAACCACCTGCAGTGTCGTTGGGTAGCATCACTGAAGGTGACGGCTGTCAACACATACTTACTGGCGTTACTACATATTGTTGTACTTGTCTGGCAGAACTTACGTAATATACCGTTTTACAAGTATTACATGCGTTAGTTTCATGTTACCGGCGTGCTACTCCATACGCTGCAACAGTTATAGTCCTTTTGACGTGTTTACACTTTCGGATTCGCGGGCAAATACGCCCGTGTAGATGCCGAAATTGGATTTTGGAGCCAGGTGGCAAAATCGACTCGTCGCTGCCGGAAAGTTTGAATCAGTCCGGGACTCATTTCCATATTTTCCGCCAGCGACGAGCCGATTTCGCCACCCGGCTTCAAAACCCACTTTTCGCCTGCGGGGATCCGCCACGAATCCTCAAGCATCAACTCGCCATTGGAGTATGCGTGTGAATTATAAGTGCCCATCCGTATCTTCCCGTGTTTGTCTATATCAAGTGAGCCCATCCTCTCTCTATTCCTGCGTTCTCGGAGGGTATAAGAGACAATAAGGTAGACAAGGGTTCATTGGAGTTTCTTCTTAGAGACGAAACGTTAGAACATCATCAAGGAAACTGGTGGTGAATAGGTTTCATTCCGGCATATTTCATTCATTTGGGTTCTGCTCGACTTCAGATTCGCTTGATTCGTCTTTAGCACCTTAGCATCGACACATCACGTTTTTGTGCGGTTATTTATTCATCTTTCTTTGTGGGACCACAATTTCCTAAAGAAGGGGAAGTTGCGTCTGGTTTCTTGTGGACCTGGAACTAGGCTGATGGTAAAGGGGCCACTATAAAAAGGGCGAAGCGAGTTAATTTGCTAGATTATTAATAAAAAAAGCTACGAGTAACCCTTTAAAGATTTGTGGCCATACTGTTGTTGAATAATCTACGCCAGCCCTCATACTCTAGCCCGTGACATAATATTTTTAAAAAAAGTTCATAGAAGGCGCGGGACGAGAAATGTCTTCCTTGTAGACGACTCTTGGTACCCTATGTTACACGGAGGGACCAACCGGGACCAAGGGACAGGGACGACGCCATCTGCTGCGATTGGTCAGTGGCACAGCAAATGGAATTGTTCATGTCCCTTGGTCCCGATTGGTCCTGCTATGTAGCATAGGGCTCCAAGTTGAAACTTAAGCGGCGAAGAGCGCCCGAGGCGTTAATCTCTCAGCCCTGTGTCGGCTTCACAGCCCACGCATCCGTGCCGAAGGAGGCGCGTGCAGTGTGACGCAGGCGCAGAAAGGAGGGATCGACGTCACGTACCGTTCGGAGGCTCTGCGCAGAGTCACACAGAGGGTGCCAAACTCAACGTCCGAAGATGTGCAAATGATCCTACTTGCTATAGCATCTTTGAAAGCATACAGAAACCATTAGCAGTTACATGTACAGATTATAAACAAGCTTAAGGAACTTTAGACGGTCCGCGAAAATCGGCTTATGAACGTATCACTTTACAATTTACTAGATAGGTGCAAACAGGGGGCGGAAGTTTACAGTGAAAAAATCAAGGAATAAATTGACCTCGTCCAAAAGAAGAACAAGCCTATTCTGAGTAATGCACGCCACCACTTCGCGGACGATGCACGCGTAGAAAGAAGTGCTGCCGACAGATGGCGTATGCCGCGTCGAGAGAGCGCCGGCCGATTCGGGTTTGGTGCACACGTGATGCCACAAAAGAACTTGAATCGACTTGCTCCCTCTGGACGCGGCGTACGCCATCTGTCGGCAGCACTTCTCTCTACGCGTGCATCGTCTGCGAAGTGATGGCGTGGATTGCCCACAAGAGGTTTCTGTGTTTTTTTTTTGTATTGAATGAAGTCAGTAGATTCTGTGACCTTTTTAACTGCAAACGTCCACCACTTGCTTGCACCTCTGCAGTAAATTGCAGCGCGATACGTCGAGAAACAACTTTTTGGGGGCCATCTAAATGTCTTAATAGCGTTAGCTTACATGCTGTATAATCGCTACCCGAAGTCGTAGGAAAGCAAAAAGGCTTATCGTTATCTGCCGAATTAGCATTGCGAATCTGTGCCCTAATGATCACTTGGATACGAGTGTAGTTCGATTAAGGGGACTCGGCTTTCTGTAAGGACAGTGACGTCGTAGCAGCGAACGCCCTTCGTAGAGCCATACAAAGTCGCTTTATAAGCATTATACACAAGATATATAGAAGTGAACCACGCACAAAAATAGCCAAGGTGCACCGAACGCGCCAAACAAACAAATGAGGACTGCGAAACTTTTTCTTATAACATAAATTGCTGCGAGCGTTTTGTTCCTCAGGTGGGACACATGATTCGTGTTGTTAAGTGCTTTTTGAGAAGTCAAATATACTCAAATTATGTATGAAAGATATTCTTCACTCAATATCTTATTTTTATCCACGAATTTTGAATGGAACATGCCAATAAATCCTTTTAAAATATTGAGTGATTGAACATTTCTTGATACCTTTCAGATTTGTTTGAAAAATAAGAGCAAATATCTATGTAATTACTTTGCATAAAGGAACTGAAACAACCTGATAAGAGCAGGATATTTTTGCTACTGTTTTGTTTTGGTTGACGCTTGCATTCATTCTTGAATTAGGAGTTAGCGCCAAGGCAAGGCCCAGACGCGATATAATGTGAATCTGAGAGCGATGTTTATGTTTGTATTTTCCGACGTAGATCTGACTGGAGTTGTGTTCTTTTGGCTGTAAATGTCACGAGCACAATGAAATGCATTAGCATATGAAGCATAACTAAAATCAACTTGTATTCACGTGACTACTTAATAGCTCTCCTAACAAGGAAAGGTATACATCTCGGGAAGCAAACAGCTGAAGACAAGGTTAAAATGGCATTTCAGGCATGTTTACGAGGTAAGTTACACCTTCATCTCACTCATCTTATACAGTATAGAACAAAGATACATAGTAAAAAATTACGGAAAAAAAGTAAAAAAAAAAGAAAAAGAAACAACATTTGTGTTTTACGTTACAATGCAGCGGGCGCTCCCCGCGGCACTCCAGTAATATTTTTAGATTATAAGGAACCTTGCGTTTTCTGCTTTTTGTAATCTCATCGTATTGCTCTTTTTAGCTTTCAGTTGCACATACGACATCATTGCGACAACATCTGATGTTACAAAACTATTTAGCACCAGCATACCACAGTACTGGTAGTTTTCAATAGAACGAGAGCAAGCACACTATCATTGCCCTGTCGCACAATTATTTATTTATTTAAATAGCTTACACACCCTTAAGGGACATTATGTAAAGGGGGGGGGGGAGGAGATACAAAGCAGAATAAATCGAAAGTACAGAGCACAAAAACAACAAAATCAACCAAACTTAAGTAGACATACATCAAGGGCCCCAAAAAGTAGTTAAATCTTAGCAAACAATAACTTGATTACCTTGACAAACAATGTTATCGGGCAAGTCGTTCCAGTCAGCAATGGCGGATGCCAAAAATGAGCAGAAAAACAAGTATGACTTACACGAAATAAGTTTAATCTTACATGAGTTATCAATGCGGGCTGAAACATAAAACGGTTGAGAGTGAAGCGATGAGTGAAGTGATGGCGAGTAGTAAATTTTATGCAGAAGTCATAGCTTTGATACCCTGCGGCGTATCTCAAGTCAATGAAGGTCAGCGCGAGTTTTAAGGTTAGTTACACTGGTATGACATGAGTAATCAGATAAAATCGAACGAGCAGCTCAGTTTTAGAGTGCTTCCAGTGAGGCAGATAAGTAATAATAATGAGGGTTCCAAATGCTGCAAGCGTATTCCAGGATTGGTCGAACAGGCGTGACGTATGTTAGTCGTTTAAGACAAGATGGGGCAGAATTAAGGTTACGTTTTAAATAACCAAGACTACAGTTAGCTCTTGAAAGAATGTAATTAATATGCATGTTCCATGACAGATCGGAGATTAGGTGAAAACCTAAGTATTTGTAAGATTAGACTAATTTCAATGGAGTATTTTGAATGTGATATTGACTGAGGTACAAACAAGAATTATTGGGACGAAAGAAGCGAACGTGCTTGCATTTTGAAGAGTTTAACATCATGACCCAGTTAGTACACCATGAGCTGATATTTAGTAAGTCGTCTTGAAGGGCAGTAGAATCCGATGGATTACTGATCCGACGGTAAATAACGCAGTCATAGGCGAATCAAGGAGTTAGGTAAATCGTTTATACAGATAGAAAAAAAAAAGCGGGCCCAGCACATTACCCTGAGGAATTCAATAGTCTCAAAAAGCATAAGAAAAGTATTTTTTCACGCGGTAGCTTTTGCTTTCCTGGCGATTTTTATTGCAGCCATATAAGAAAATTTATTAATTCTCGCGGTATTCTTTGACTTCTAGAAGCCCGAGCTCAACGATTCATGTTTGGACGTAGCTTCTGCTGAGCAAGAATTCTTGCAGTCGATGTGCCTCCTTGAGCAAAGAGCTCGCACTCGTATACCCTGCTAGCGGTATTGTCCTTCCGTTTGATTTAAACGAAAAAAGGCTGATAAGCAATTATTTAGACGCAACAATGCTTCGTCCAAAATAAAACAGAATAATGCAAAATGATTGAGCACAGCAGCCTTTCGAGCGGAAATGAAGGGACGATTGAAGACAATTGTTTATGGCGCATATGGCGCTCGAGGGGACTGGCAGCCGCAGGATGCTTGTGGGCCGCATCCCAGAACGTTGCGGACCGCATGTGGCCCGCGGGCCACGTGTGTCAGACCTCTGCTCTAAAGTAATCAAGCGCAGATAAGTCTATACCACTGCAATGTTAAGAAACGCATATCTCAGTTTCGTGCTTAAACGTGAGTTGCTTGTTTCAGTCGCCAGGAATATATTATTTCTAGTGCAATGATTTACTCTTCACAAGAATTGGAACAATGGCAGGTTTTTCCTAGCGTTCAATATCACTTGTGAACGATTGTCGGACATTACCGAAATAATAAGTAAGAAATATGAGCCATCAAACATTTTAAGTTTAATTAAGGCGATCATAAGCTTTGCTTCTCTGCAGTACGTATATTGTTCAAGAATGTCCTGCATGTTTTTGTAGCGCGGCTGCGCGCGCACAGACAATGACCAGGGATAATCAAAATTGCAACGCCTGAGGCAACTTTGATTATACCTTTTCATTCTAAAGTGCAATCACAGTTATAAAATCTGCCTATTTATTTGTTTGCAGTTATCTTTGTTCGGGATAGCGGTAGCATACTTTGTTTCAGCACATCATGTCAGGGCGCAACAGATGCTACAAGTTAATGGAACCACTGAAGCAGTACCAAAAAACTAACGTCACAATGTTCGCCGTCTTCATCTGCGTGTGCTATCAACGTCTCAAGCAATCACGCAGGATGTATACGCTGACAACAAGTAATCTTTGTCTGAGCATCCTTGTACGTGGCCTTCATCTGACGTGATGTTAAACGAAGTGTAATAGCTTATGTTGGCGCTAAAATATTATTTTTTATAACTTTTTTTTTTCATTCGCAGTCATTTAATCCTAGTAGGAGAAAAAAAAAAGATGGACAGTTTTTTTATTATATTTACTGTCAGTATCATTTGGCGCCGATATTTACCCGACCTTTCTAAAAAATGCCAAATGACTGGCGAAACGCAGACGTTTGTCCACAGTACTAAAAGCTTTTCGAATGCTCTTAGTTCGACTGTTTTAAATGAGCTTCATGTGAAATGAATGATAAGTTCTGACTGAGAAAATCGTTTTTATTTTTGCACAAGATAATGCGGTTTATTAACGTGACATACGCCAAACTCATTTCGACACCTGGAAGAAAATAATCATTTTGGCACTCAAGTGTCTTCAACATAACGCCTCGTTTCTTTAAAACATAACGTAAGTTAGAATCTGGGCATTACAGCGGCTTAAAATATTATAAGTAATTATGTTTCGAAAGAATACATACACTAAGGTGGCGAAGAGGGCGAGTTGGTTCATGACTTATAAAATTAAAAGCGCTAACAAAGAGAACGACACAAGTTTTTTTTGCATTCTACAAAAGATTTGTAGAATCTAACGTGGGCGTGGTGTACAGAATATTGCTGACATGCGGTAGGGTGTACATCGGCTAGACAGGACGGTGCGTAAATGAGAGGATGCGCGAACGGGACCTGTCTTTGCGCTAAACAACTGGAGGACATTTGCCTCTGCATTGCAGGGACTGTCTGCGCCAGCCGAACTTTCGAAATACCACGATCGTGGTGAGGGCCCGTGAAAAAGCTGCGAGGGAAGTGCTTGAAGCGCTTGCTATAAAGAAAGAGGGCACTAAAGGCTGGGTCAGCCAGCCGTCAATTTTTACGCATATAAAAGAGAGTGATTTATTGACGCGCATGGTGATGAGTGACGTCACTGAGTGGTCAGTGTATTTTTTATCGGAGGTTGTTTGCTTTAGCTGTTTATAAATAAATGTTCAGTTGAGAGTTAGCGCTCGTCCTATTCGCCTTCCTCTTTGTCCTTGTTTTTGTTAGCGCCTTTAATTTTATAAGAGATACACATTTTTCGCCAAAACATATCGACCAATCGGGTAAAACTATTGTTGCATGGCTCTTGATCAGTAAATTTTTTGTCCGAGGTTCTTTATATGACAGTGAAATAATATTCAAAAACAAGGAGACAGGCCATATGCGAAGGTCATATTACATGATATCTGCGTGAAGCTCTGGCATGCGCAGTGCTGGTGACTACTTTCGCCAGATATTGAGTGCCATAGTCATGATCGAGTGCTTCACCTATAGTTTCGACTCTCCCAATTTTTTAGTCTGGATACATAGCGATGAAAATAAATTTCTTAAATGACTCAATAATGTTTAATGGGTCTCTAGACACTACGGAAGATTCGAGGTGAAGATTCGAAAAATCCGGGACTAGTTTTGTAGCGTAAAATAACAAAGGCAGCACGGTGATAAGAGCGCCGCTGTAGAAGACGGGGACCTTCATGTTTTGTGGGCGTCGTCTGCGGAAAATTTGAGCTGTTTTATTAATAAACACCAATAATTTTATTAATAAACACCAATAATTTTATTAGAGACCGTATCAGGAAGGGTAAGCAAAATATATTGCTAAACACGTTGTACATGAATAAAGGTCATGAAATATCCAAAAATGCCATAGAGCTGGAAATGTAGAACAGCAACATTGCAATACAGTAGGAACACACCAAAAATAACTAGCTTTCTCGCCGTCAACTTTAATTTCCTGGTCAATGAGCCTCCTATTTGTGTGGGTCTAAGCGGACCAATTTTAGCTTTAATTACGAATGGTTCAAATTAAGCTAAATCGTGTTATTGCAGATACAGGCGATGAAGTCTGGAAGGAAACCGTTGAGGAAACTCTTCTGAAATATAACCTGCATCCCTGGTCACCGAAGCGCACTCATCATAAAGCACGCCCGTCACTTGAACGCTTGCTTATGAAAACGGGACTCGGCCCACTTTTTCGGATGTCCGTTGTCAAGGATGATTCAGTTAAAGAAGGTAATCGACTACTTGTAAGTAGAGTCACTGGCACCTCAATCAGACGGCTACACTGAATTATTTGATTAAACGTAAATTAACCTTATTGTGAATTCCGCACGCAGATCTCGAGCGCTCCAAAAGCGCTTAAATTGGAAGCGCATAATCCACTGGCAGATCTGACTCGAGCAGGTCATCTTCCGCTTGTAGATTTCTGGCAACGCCTGCTCCATGGACCGCCTCCAACCTCGCCAAACTTGCTCCGCGGGATTTCAGAGACCCTTTGTGGAAGTTGACAGAGCGCGCGACGTCATTTTCTTTAACTCGGCGGTGGCTCAAGCGGGACGAGGTCGGTGGGCCGAACGGCTGCGCCGTCGATGGCGTTGAGTCGGTCGAGCTGGATTTGCTCGGATGCGTCGGTCGTTTTACACAGGATTGTGACGGCTCGAACGCTTCTACCTCGCGTAGAGAAGGGATGCAAACCCGGAACTGGAGCGTGGCAAATCGCAAGCGCTGATATTGTGATCTTGAGAGGAAGAACGAGAATCGGAAGGAGGGAGACGCAAGCTTAAGCCTCTTCATTTTGCCGCCACTGATTGTTTATTTTTTTACACTGCATGCCGCCGGCGTTTTCTCGTGCAATAAAGCAACAGATTAGGCAACGGCCGTGCAAGTGATTGTTTGAGGCCTGTGTGCTTATAAGTGTCGTACCAGGAATATGAACTCCACCGATAGCAATCGCTGTGCGTGCCCCGCCGTTTCGTGGCGGCCGAAAGGTATGTGACGGTGCTGAACGCAGACGTCTTCCTCGTTATTTGTGACATGGGCTTCATGGTACGTATAATTTCGGCCGGCCTGGGTCGCGTCTTATTTCTGCAGTTAAGCAGTGACTGTAGTCACTGGTCGTAGGGAAGATCAGTCGGCTGAGGCTTGTCAAGTTCGAGCAGCGGCCATTTTGAACGGCCGAGGGGGGAGCGGGAAGGGAGAAGGGGTCACTCCAAAAATGCTATTCGGAGCGGGTCCCACGGAGCGGGATTTTGCCTCCCTCGAGGATTTTGGAAAGCGCTCCGGATCTACGAGTGGAATTCACCGATAATTTCGGCCGGCCCAAGTTTCAATGCACTGGTAACAAGAATTAGTCAATTAATAATGTCTTACCTGATGAGCCACCGGTCTGGGATAAGGCCAAATAGATCATTGTATCTTTTAAGGATTCACCGACCATTGTTTTGACTTGGATTGTTACGATGATTGAGTAAGAACTGTTTTAGAGCGCAGCTCTTAGGGGCCCGTTCCCGGCTTGAGCGGCGTCGCCGTCGCCGTCGGCGTAACCAAGGTCATCCCAAGGTCACGTGACCCCCAAGGTCACGTGACCCCTCCCAAGGTCATCTCAAGGTCACGTGACCCCACGTGACTCCCAAGGTCACGTGACCCCTCCCAAGGTCATCTCAAGGTCACGGGACCCCAAGACCCCACATGACCCTTTGAAGGTCACGTGACCCCCAAGTCACGTGACCCCTCTGAGGTCACGTGACCCCCGAGGTCACGTGGTCTCCTCCCCAAGGTCACGTGACCCCCAAGGTCACGTGACCCCTCCCAAGGTCATCTCAAGGTCACGTGACCCCAAGGTGACCCCCACGTGACCCCCAGGTCACGTGACCCCTCTGAGGTCACGTGACCCCCCGAGGTCACGTGACCCCCCAGGTCACGTGACCCCCCTCCCCGAAGTCACGTGACCCCCCCCCCCCCCCCCCGAGGTCACGTGACCGCCCCCCCGGAGCATATTAAAGAATGAGAGGAGGAGGAGGGGTCTACCCTCCCCTCAGTACCCTTCACTCCTCCTCCTCAAGAGCTGCGCTCCAATTCGGCGTTACAGGGATTTGTAAACGGCTTTCACTTTTTTTAATAGAAATGAAAGATAACTCAGCAGATATATATATATATATAAATATTAGCTGACGCATTTGACGATTACACAATGTACCAAAATACATTTAATTATTCTATATTGCATAGCCATCTTTTTTAAAGTAGAAATAGTTGTCGCAGTGGAAATAATTTCAGCAACATAATTTTCAGCAAAGCAGCCCGTTGGAAGCATCTGTTTGCCAAAACACTAGAGCGAGTTAAAAAAATCTGTATAAATTGGTACAACTGCTGGATGAAAAAGCTGTTAAGGCCGTTCGAATCTTCATTGGTGGTGAAGTAGCTACCATTCAGCATCGACAAGCATACGGCTGGTATACAACATGCACATTCACAACCTCTTTTCTACCGAATATACAAGCACCCTAATGTATTTTACCTTGGAAAAATGTTTCAAGTGATACAAATGTTTATAAATATCAAGGTTGTCGCTATGGATTGGAAAGAGGGACCCTAAGATTGCTGGCATCTACAAGTGCGTAAATATCACACTATGCTATAATAGAGAGTGTTCTCTAATGTGAACATTTCAAAATTGTTCAAATAGTTTCAAATTAAAAACAACAGCGAAGATATATTATGATTTTTCCCAAGTCGAATAAATGGTGGGGATAAAGAAAGAAATCCGAACGTTTGAAGTATTATTTTGAATTCGCGTCTATAGATATTTTAACTAAGTTACTAATAATAAAATTTTCGCTAATTAGCTTCATTCTCTCTTCCGAATCCAAGCAGCATCTCAAAAACATAAAATAAATTTGCCATATTTCCAAATATGCAGAAGATACACCACGGAAATAAGCATATATCCTATCAAAGCCAACACTTATGCCCGTTTTAGCTATGGTATGAGTATAATCACTAAAATACAATTCCATTCGTCACTTCTCCCAGCTCGAGCAGCAAGACTACCTATTCATTCGTATGGCACAGATGGACTCAAATTGCGCAAATGTTGAATTTGCCAGGCTACGAGGCTACGCCCGCTACGCGATGTACTGCATTTCAACACTCAGGCCATGGATGTCCGTAATGGAAGTATTTGATACAGTCAACGACATGCTGGCTTTGGAGGTAGAGCTGGCAACGGTAAGTTTTTCTTGCTTTTTAAAATATATGTGTACATTCTCACTTAAATAAACCTATTAAATTTATTACAGATATCAAGAACAAATCATGGTTTTCAGAAGACATCGGTAGTTACTTTTGAGGAGCTGGAGCACATCTTTCCCCAAGTGCGTTTTTTTTCCTCTTCACAAAAAGTATCTTGGCAGCAAACGTCGTGTCTCTACGTCCATATAGTAAAACGGGGGTGTCCCTTTGACTCCTAATATTTTAATATTAAAGGATATGCTGGTTGCTTGAAATCTTTTTTTTTTAATTAAAAAGTATAACAAAAACAAACTATACGGATATTTTAAGCAACGTAAGATCTATTTCTTGAACAAGACTGATACTTCAGTGAAGTAAAATAGAGGAGCTTACTTCTAAAAAATAAAATTTGGGGTTTTACGTGCCAAACCAACGACGGGCATCTGGCACGCCCCAGCGGACGGCTGAGGATTAATTTGGACTACCTGGGGATCTTTTGACGTGAAACCGAAAGCTCGGTTACACAGTGCTCTCGCCTCAGAACCACCGAGGCGGCTGACAGCAGCTTGCTACTAGATGATATAACTACCTTCATGTACCAATATGATGCAAACAACTCATAAGAGAAACGATGTCTTCAATGTATAACGTAGATGTATTAGTGTGAGGAGTTCTAAATTAAACGTCTCTTGTTCTGATTAATCCAAAGAGCACAAAAAAAGCATTTCTTAAAAAAAAAAGCGATGTCATTTAGGGTTTTGTGCTGGCTTGCTACGCTGTATCGCGTCGTGTCTTGCATGCGTTATGCGTGCATTACGATTTGCTGTGCTTTGCTACGCGATGTTTTGGATAATCTTGAAAGTGTTGCACGCGCGACAACTTATGCACTACCGTTGTTTATCAAAAATAATCAAGTCAAGTTTAAATTTATTCAGCACTCGTACCGTCGTGCGGTTACATGGGGGGCTATCCTTCTTCAATCAGAAACCAGTTATGAGCGCCGACAGTCCCCCAATACTGCAGGCTCCCTTGACGCATGGTTAGACCAAGTGCATGCTATCACATTCACGTCTTCTAGTAACGCCGAGCAAAGTCTGTTGGCAGATGTTGCGTTGGGGGGATTGATTCCCACTGCGTTTCTTGGTAAATCTTGCCACAAATAATTATGTTTAATTATGACCAAGATTGCTTCTGTATACTTTCAACGCTCATGCATTGCTTTTCTTAGGCTATGTATGCTTAATGTTGTGTGGGCCTGCGTCTAACAGCTTGTCATGACGCTCAAACATAACGATTTTCGCAAGAATTCAGCCCATAAGCATATTGTGCATTAAAACAGTCAGCCTCAAGGAGGTTTCTGAATTGGTAAAATCTATTTTAAAGCGGCTTGAATTTGACCGGGCTATAGTCGTTGAACTGGCTATTTTCGCCATGATTAAAATTAAGTGAAACGGACAAAATCGAGTTTGTACAAATTTATAGATTGTTTCAAATGGTCTAGGTATTAATCTCCTCAACACGTTTAAAGAAATTGGCACTTATATCTGAATTACGTTTAGCACACTAGAATGCACACCTCAAGGAGTGAGTAAGTTGTCTCACAAAAGCATGTAGAGTCTGCTATATCTAAAGTGAATTCGTTTCGTCCAGATTCCGATAGGAAAGTCATGAATAACATTTTTTCCTGGTTTTACAGATTTCATTTTCAGATATTCTTAGAAAAGATATACCTGAAGAGACATGGAACTTTAGTCTCGAACAAGCTATCCTAGTAAAAGATGTGGAAACCTTCTACCCTTTTGGAGTATACCTGACGCAAGTAGACGCGTAAGCGCAACTGGAAATTGCTTCAAAATTGATTTGCCAGTTTTGATAATTGAATGCAAAAGCGTACCTACGCCTTGATGGTGCACTATAAACCGAAGTACTTTAAACTCTGGACACCTGACGATGACGCAGGTAGCCTTGTCGTGTCGAAATTCAAGTTCGGTGCTTCTATTGAGAAATGACACTATATATGGTGATACTTAACATGACTAAATTTATCATGCACCCCGATATTAATTCAAATACAGGGAAACGTGTTTTAGCTAAAAGTTTATCAACGCAACTTCTGGCCCCATTTAGCTCTCCACAAGAGCGCTAGGTGTTCACATTTTCAAGGAGGCCATCGTAATTTTTTCACAGAAGCAAAAGAGATGTTGAAATGGGTGATATCATTTAAGCCCGTTCTTTTTTCGACTCTCTCTTTTGATCTTTCTCAAAAGAACCATTTTAAAATTGTGCTTCTCGGTTGAGCCCGCCGCATTAGATTCGTTCTGGTTACATCCTTCGCGTTCCATCCTAAATCAAAAGTATAAATAAATGAGGGCACTCCGAGCTGTCGGTGCTATTGCTGGGTCACCGCATACCCTTGAAGAAGCTTCTTCAAGTCCGCCTCTTCCCCCTCCCAACTCGCCTATACGCAAGCGCTCACATACACAGGCACATGTGCTTTAGTCCCACGGTTTGGGTAATAGTACTTGAAATACGTTCCTTCCGTCCTTAAAACATGCAGCGAAGGTCATGACCCGCTCGTTGGTTGTCCAGAAGTGGTAGACGGCGCTGGACAATAAAAAAACAAAAAATTGTTCTTTTGCCAAAGCACGGCTTCGCATGTCTTTCGTTTTCGGGGTGGCGGGTGGTACATTACGAATTTCGCCGCCTTCTATCCCTACAACCCTATACGCACTCTACTTTCCCTTAAACTGGACTGCAACGTACGCTACGAGCCAACGGAACCAATCCATGGTTGAGAACGTACCACGCGCCTTTCGGTCCTTGTGCGAACGGGACCAACCGCGGATAGGCCCTAATGCAAAACAAACGAACAAAAAAAACGGTTTGGATGTTTTGAGAAGGTTCAAACGCGAAGTACCAAACGAGAATGGGGCGAAACAAGAAAGGGAGAAATGCAAATGCGACTTTTTGAAAAACACCCGTCGAAATTTGTCAAGGTAAATCCGACGATTAAGATACCCTTTCAATTAATACAATTAGCTCGATAGGCGCTTGCGTCCATTTTTTATGCTCTTTTTACATAAAAATAGAATATTTGTGTCACCCTATAGGTATCAATAAACCGGAATCGAAGATAAAAAAATGAGTTAGGGCACACCAGAAAGTACTTTTTGTTAGAATGTTGTGGTTGATCTCTCAATGTATATGGTTATATCTTAACCCAATTATGATATTACGTATTTCCAATGTAGCACAAAGACAAAACTGGAAGGAGACAGAGATAGGAAAGAACGCCTTTCCTACCTCTGGCTCCTTCCTACTTACAAGCCCAACAGCTCATTTTGATATAACATTGCGTTCTCGCTATTCTGTTGAAGTATCGCATTTCAGCCGTAAGTTGAATGACACATGTTGACTAGCGGTGAGACACTAATCGTTAGAATTTATAAAATGTTATTTTTAATTGTAACGATCATTAAGGTTTGCCCATTGGATTTAATATGTGCTTCTTTTGGAAAGCGCAGGCGAGTATTAGAGGACCTTATCGGATGGATAATGATCAGAGATCTGGCACAGTTCACGAACGGAGATGGACAAAAGATGTTCCTTGATCTGTTCACACAAGATGAGAAAGAAAATGAAAATCCTGTGTCTACTCCTAGAGATGAGCATTGTTTCAATATTTTAGTTGAAAATGGGGGTATAATGAGACCTGCTGTTGAAAACATATTCGTTCGTAAATACTTCGATCAGGAAGCGAAAACTGAGGTAAGTGTTAGAAAGAGTTTAGACTCTGCATGAACCAATATCAATGACTACATTATAAATCATTCCTTTAGTTGAAGTAATAAAAAATGTTGAACTAATATATGTGTTGCGCAGTTACGGGTATAGTTAAAAAAACTATGTGAAACAAACTTCTAAGCAATCGTAACTTATCTCTTTATAAGTGGTAAACACTCCGCTCTTCCCTTACTCCACATAAGGTAATACATTAAAACCTCGACCAACACATATGTATTTCAGATATGTTAGAATCATAGTGCTGCTTAATAATTGTATGTTTATTAGAGATTAAGCAATCTTGCACAGTATCCAATTATCATTGAATTATTAGTCTTGAAGCACACGGCGCTAGTGAAACCTTTTAAAAACTTGGTAAATAACAATTGAAAAATTTTGAAATCTCAAAAGTTACTCAAAAGTAACTTTGTAAGTTACTTTTGAAAGTTACTCAAAAGTAAGTTACTCAAATTTACAAAAGATAAACACGTCCCCATATACGAGGGTCGTTCAATAAGTTTTGATTTGTAGGTGTCTTTTTATTAAAGGAATGCTGAACCAAAATTTAAATTTCGCGAAATAAGACCGCAGGAGCGTTGAACGGGACGCTACCAACTCCAAAACATCACTCATGCATCCATATCTCAAACGGATGGCCGTATTTTTGAAAAAGAAGGGCGGGATCAAGAAAAGAATGCGTCGGCACTATTCTCTTCCAACACTTGAGATTGAGGGGAAGTGGCCTCACTTTTCTCTTCCTCGCTTCGGTTCATTTTCTCGAGGGTACGAAGCAAAAAGGAAAGGGAATGAGAATCGCCATGTGACATGTCTTGTCGGCTTGGTAGAAGAGCGTGTTGGTTTAAGTCATGGATGAAGAAAGAATAAACAATTAAAACAGGGACAACACAACCACAGATAAACACGATCTTTTTGAAAGCGCAGGCGAGTATTAGAGGACCTTATCGGATGGATAATGATCAGAGATCTGGCACAGTTCACGAACGGAGATGGACAAAAGATGTTCCTTGATCTGTTCACACAAGATGAGAAAGAAAATGAAAATCCTGTGTCTACTGTGCAAGATTGTTTGAAAGATGTGGTTGTGTTGTCCCTGTTTTAATTGTTTATTCTTTCTTCATCCATGTCTTATCGGCCTCGGTGGCAGTGTTCAATCGCTCACTTCTTTTCAAAAAATACAAATTCTGAATGAGATATTGTTGTGTGAGTGATATTTTTGGGTTTTGAAGCGAACCGCCAATCACTCCAGTTTTGATTTGTGAGCTCGAAATTTCGGCTCAGTATTCCTTCAAAGTATAACATGCGTTAAAACGGAACCACCTACCCCTAAATCCTAAAATTCTGTCAGTCAGCTTGTCCGTTTGTGCATAGCCCGATAAACGTAGCGGGGAAATGGACGTCACGGACCTATACACCAGTTCAGGTGCCCCGCTACATCTAGCAAAACCCTTGAAGTCACGTGACCTGACGTCACGTAACCTATACACTTGTGGGACCCCACCCGCCATTTGAAGGGTGTCGCTACATCCTTACCTGTGTCGAACGCTTCACCCGTTTGCCGGAGGCGCTCCCCATCCAAGATATTCGAGCGGACACAGTGGCTCGCACTTCCTTTTTTTTTCTCTTTTTACAACGGAGCTGTTAAGGGCTAGGTTCCCGGGATAGTGTCCGTCCGTACAGAAATGTCGACACAAAACTCTGGTTGTCGTCGTCGGTCATAGATCGTGGCAACCTTTCCAGCCTATCCGCTCTGGCTTGCCGACTTTCGGTCGGCCATTACTTCATTCCTACCATAGCACAGCTTCGCTGGTCTGCCTTCTTCACCAGAGTGGAAAGGCTGAACGTTTTTATATTTATATTGAGTGACCCACAAAGAGCTTGACGCCTCCTTAGTGGTGCAATGAAGTGTTCAAGGGAGTACTTATTTATTCGGCGTTTCATCCGCTCTCATGAAGGGTCGCAAGCGTCAGTTTGAGCCGACGCTTTTACACCATCTGCGTTCGCCCTTGTGAGCGACCCGTATTTGTACCACAGCTTACCATTCCATGGGAAGCGGCTTCGCTGAACGCTTCCATGTTTGACTCAATGTCGCACGTGTGAAACAATCCGATCCAACCAGGTGGCACGGAAGCTTACCCGGCGTCCTCCTTGGACTCAGAACGGCGCTAAAGACAGAGCTTTGGTACAGACCAGCCGAGCTGGTATACGATTCAACACTGCACATACCCGGAGAATTCTTCACACTAGGATTGGAAGAGCTGGCTACTTATCCTATGATTTATACGGGTCAGCTAAGTTCTGTAATAACAAGTGTCCATCCCAGGCTGCTTCGTGCGCGATATCCAACTGCTGTGTAAAATAGCCAGGGACCATTGCACCTGCACGCACATATGTTTCCCTAGAGACGGAGCTTCTCATCAACACCTGTATCTTGGGCCACACAAAGTACCTTCAAGAGTAGACAATATTTTTATTATTGACTTCAATAGACTTCTTGAAACCGTTTCTGTAGATCGCCTAAAGCAGGCTCATCAGGAGCTCCTTCCCTCTCCGGACAATGCAACCTCTGTTCCTACCATTCCTGCTCGACCGACCACCGAGAACCGCTGCCTTTTTCAACCCGACATAACCGACGTAACACAACCCAAGCCAAGTCCTTGCAACACAACCACTTTCCACCAACATCCCTTCGTCCCGGTGGTGCTCCTGAAATCTTTCTAAGCAATCCTCCTGGAGCTCCACCTAGCGAAGTGTCATGGCCTCTATCAACATCCAATATACATAGAACCCAATAAAAGTACAGCTCGTTCCTTTCAGGAGAGAAGGAAAAATACCGTTACCATTTCCGGAGTGCTCGCAAAAAGATTACGCACAAAAAGGGTGACTGAGACGCAAATAGCATGGCTGGAATTCAGAAATAAAGTGGGCCAGCGATCGTCCCCGAGCGGGACCGATTGGACCGCTGCGATTACTCGACCGTGACGTAGGATGGGGGATTACGTGATAAGGACAGCTATTCCGTTTTGCTTTGGTCGGGGTCTTTGGAAACCGTTCGCCCGGTACCTTCGCACTTTTTTTATGTGTTTGAAGCCTGATCAGTACTCGCGTGGATCGGCTTCGGCAGCTGTCCAACTCAGGGAGAATAGTAAAGGTACGTTTATACTCCAACGTAACGTCGACAAGCGTGGCGTAGCGCAGAGCGCACAGATAATGATTGGTCGCAGATATCGAGTTTCTGGTTGCCGACCAATGAAAGGCGCGCGTTCTGCGCTACTCTGCGTTCACTGCGCTCAACGTCGGAGTATAAACAGCCCTTAAAGCACTGCTCGGTGCCGCAATGCCGTAGTTACGCGACCGACCCCAACATCAGCTTCCACATCTACCCCAAGAAGAAGCCGCAGCGCACGGAGTGGAGTGGCTTGTGAAATTGAGAATGAGCAAAATAAACTCTAAGAGTTCAACAGTGCGCAGCAAGCACTTTTCAGATGAAGCTTCGTGTATGTGGTTGGAGCGAAGTTGTTCGGTAAGCGCTCTAAAGTTACTAATGCGAAAGCATTAACTGTCTCATGGAGCGAGCTGACGCCATCCGTTTGAAGCGCAAAAACGGCTCCTAGTTTCCGAGATTTCGCCTTCGGTTCCATTGGCTGGTGCGCGTCGACGGGGCTCCCATTGGCCGCTGCGCCAGGGCCTCTGAGATCCCGAAGCGCGCGCGCGCTAGTACGTAGCAGACGACAAAGGGAGCGGACGAGCGGCTTGCATGCTTTCGCATTCACAACTCATAAGAAATGCTTAGGCGTACCTCCAGCCTTTTTTTAGTGAACCTCCACAAAAGTGTATGTGTGTGTGGAGGGGGGGGGGGATTTCGTTGGCGCACGTCAGAGATCGACGTTCTCTCGCATTTTGCTCGTAAGTGACAGACACGAAAAGTTTCTGCAGAGAGTGATGCCACGCATCCGTGCATCATATCATTCTTCCATTCAGTGTTATCTCCAGCTCGTGGGGGTCGGAAGTGAGTACCGATGTGTGGAGAACGAATCCAATGAACCCTTAGCAGTCCTTATCCAGCTTTTTGATACTGCAGGAGAAGACGTGTCCCGCTTCAAGAACTCCTTCGCCCTCGAGCAACAGCCGGGATGTTTCGTGGCCCTTGTTCACGAACGCATTGATGCTGACTACAGGCAGCACAACTGAAAAGGGGTACACAGTTGTACTAACAGGCTCTCCGGTCATATAGCAGTTTAAAACTATTTGCGTACCTTCGACGGTAGGTCGCACTTCATCACCATCCATTGCGGTGCTCGAAACACCCGCCGAAAACGACAAGTTGGCCAGTACCATCTAGTCCACGCCGCTGCGCTTCCGAGTAGCGACCTATTCCCTGCTTGCCTGCAGCCGACTCACCGGCTCCTCGGAAGCACTCGTACGGTAGCCGTTTCAGGAACTTGACGGGTTTGAGTAGTAAAACAAAGAAGCCTTAAACACCCGTAGTATTCAAAAGAGAGAAGACCGTGATGCTCTACCCTTGCCACTGAGTGCAGGAAACGGTCACGGGATCTCCCATCCTTCGTCACGACGATAGTACCGTCAGGTGGCGCCACGCCACGCTCTCGGCGCTTATAGAGGTCGGACTGCGAAAAAGTTGCTTTCCCCCAAAAAAGGACATCCAGCTTTTCTAAGAGAAGATCCGGAGTGTTTTAATACATTTCGTGTAGCAAAGAAAATGACGTTTGTGCTTGTGGCTATACTCACGATCAATGTTATCTTGGACCCGAGTACATAACACTAATGTTGGATAAATTTTGGTAATTAATAATTTGATCTATGAGGCAAGAACTATAATCATACAGCTAACTTTTCTTGAAAAATATTTTTTTTTTGTGAACCATTACGGTGGTGCACATTTGCCAGTCATTAGTGTTCACAAACTTTGTAACATCCCTACAGACTTCTCCTATGTCAAAACATTATTTGCAAACAAATCTTACGGCATATTTTGTTGGGAAGCCTTTTCTTAGAACAGTGAAGTAAAATATAACAATTTTGTTTATAGTGCTTAAAAACTGTATTTCAAAAAATGTTGCTTTTATTTCCCCCAGGTAACACAGATAGCTGGTAGTTTGCATTTGGAATTTGAGCGTACACTACACAAGTTTTATTGGATGGACATTGACACGGAAGCTGCTGCCATTGAAAAGGTAATTTATATCAAGATATAACCTCACGTAAAATATTATTAGAGCTTCATATCATTGCGGTAAATGATATGGTTTACCGCTTGTCATAATGAGCACGAAGGTTTAATCAAGATCGATGAGTTTTCTTTTTTTAATTAAACCACCGGTCTTTAATAGGTGATACTGATCGCGGAGAAAAAAAACAAACAGCTTCCTTGTCATAGTAGAGGAAGTTCCTCGACCTCTACTGTAACGACCTTATTTTCGCGAGGACCTAATTTTCGCTAATTTCCCGAATCGCCTGCAATTCGCGAAAAATAGGTCCCGCGGACAATTCCTGTAAAATGTGAGCACATTGAAATCAATATTGAGATCCCAACATGGTCGCGAAAATTAGAACCCGCGAATTATTCCAAAACTTCAGATTTTACCTCTAAAAGGGGAGGGGTGGGGGCAGGGGCGGGGGGGATACAACCAGAGAGGGCTAAAGCTTGATCGCGGAAAAACGAGCCAGTGCCGCTTTTTCGCTAAAAAAAAAAAAAAAAGCTGTGTTTGTTGTAGTATGACGGTGTTTTCAGGGACAAAAATTTTTTTTTTTTTTTTTAATTGCGGTAATTCTTTTTTTCATTGTTTCCACTGATCGAAAAAAAAAAACACGAAAACCTGCCGTGCTTAAAATGCATATATTGAGAAAGTACCAATATTTTCTGGCAACAGTGATATTAGTCTGATTTCAATAAAATAAATTTAACTTGAATAAATTAAATATTTGTTTTAATTTTTGTTTTGTTTTGGTATACCTGATATGAATTGTGTACACTGCGTAACACTCTCAGTAGAGACAAACGATGAACTTTTTTTACATTTTAAGGGTTACTACTAAAACTACTAGTGTGGTGTAAATTGCTCATTCGGGGCACACAATTACGCGATAAAAGTTTGACGCTGATCAACCCCTTCTTTCAGTAAAATCCGAAATATCGCTTCGCGTCAGCTCCGTTGCGCGTTATACCGCTTGTGTGAGAGAAGCCTAAACTTTGGCAGCACCACTGCAATTTAAATTATAACGACTACTTTACATAATAATTTAATTCGAGGTGAGCTTTTTTCAGCTCTGTCAAAATATTGGTGAGCTTTTCTCCTGAACCGCAGAAAAGTGGGCAATCTTTTCTCCGGTGAGCCTTTGTCCGGTGAGCTTACCTCCGGTGATATTTTCTACGGTGATCTTTTCTCCGGGATTCGTCTTTGCGATCCTCCGATGATCTAGTGGGTTAGTTACAACCATTTCATGGAAAGTGTTGTGCGTTTTTTTTTTTTTTTCGTTAGACGTAAAAGATTTCTACTACTCATTTGAACCCAAGATTCTGCTTGCTAGGGTTAATAGTTTTTTGGGAGATCATTTGGTCAGATTTTAAGCTCTGTCGGGTACATCAGTTCCTGAGCTTTTAGGATCTTGGAGGTGTTCATAAAATCAGCGATTGTACAGTACGATGGTCGTAATTTTATCTAACACCATGGTGTGTGCATTGGATCAGCGGTCGTCACCAGCATCCGGAAACCTTAGATTTCTCTAAGGTTTCCGAATTTCAAACTTTTTGATTACGTTAAGGATAGCTCCCCTAACGAAGTATTGGTGAAAAGATACGTCGACGATATTTTGGTTTGTACTACAAACATCTCTCGCATATTGTCTAGAGAAATCGCTTTTTATTATGGCTTTCGAGCTAAAGTTTTTTCTTGAAAGGCCGGAAGACGAACACTTTCAGTATCTTGACCTTCAACTCAAAACTACTTCAGGTCATTGCTGGGGGTGCAGCACAATTGCCCTGCGTGCAGAATCCCTGTCGCGAAAGCCCCGCGATATTAGCCCCACGTTTCGGAAGCCTCGCGTTCAATTACCCCGTTCCGTATTTCCCTGGGGCCCAAAGCCCCGTCCTCACTGCCCCCGTCCTACCCTCTTCGTGCTTCCACTAGCATTGTTCCATGTCCTAACCTAATCCGTTGAGGATCTACGAAGGGTATTTTAAGTGAAAGAAAAAACAAAATGAGGTTAACTTGAGCCGCAGAACAACTTAGAATGATGTAGGTACAAATGGCCAATTGTATAAATCTGCATAACCAGCGACGCACTCCGCTGTCGAGAAGTATACTCAGACGCAAAATTATAGACTTCATTTACCGAGGTGAATACCAAATTTTCAGAACGACGTATAAATGCAAAATGGGGTTTGGTGCTGCGCATAATAAGTAAGGCGGCATGAGTTGCGGGTCAACAGTTTTGACAGAATCCACTTTGCCAGAACTGTGAATCCGCGCGTGCTTCAGATTGGACAAAAGCTTTTGTTCAGTGATTACTCATAGAAAGATATATAACTTTAAATGTCTTGCCAGTGACCGATATTTTCTATTTGATGTCACTTCTAACGTCACAAGACGTGTATATGCACAAGGCAAGCCTCAAGAACGAGAAGCTTTATGCAGTTATTCCTTACTAGAGTCCCGGGTACGGCATTATTACGTTACACAAGCTCGCGGGCTCACTTAACGTCTCTTAGTTCGAAGCAGCAATCTCCGCCCTCACGCTGGGACCCTGTCGCCTGACTCAGGAATTCTCGTCATGGGCGTTTGAATCTGGGGCTTTCTAATGCTGGTCAAAAATGGCGGGGCGCTTGGCGCGGGGCATTTGACACGGGGCTTTGACATCGGGTGTTTTCGTGCACCACCCTTTGCTGGGAGTATAGAAAATCCGCAGCAACACCACTGCTTTCATTCAGTGGCTGCCACTCAAAGCATGTGAAAGTAGGCTTAATTCGGAATCCAGTCAATGCAGCGGTAAAAAGTATTGTTCCCACTCGATTAGTTAAATCTCTTCATCGTCTTATGGAACGTTTCAGAATGGCAGGATACCCCAGGAATATACTTTAAGAGAGTTGTTGTATTCGGTATTTCCGAAAAAGGCAGCTAAAACGGCACTAAACCCTCCAAGTGGGTAGCCCTTTTAACTTTCACAAAATCACTCACAACATCGAAGCGCTGGCCAACAAGTTTTATGTTGGCACTACGCTCTGCCCAGATTATAGGCTGAGCCGCATGATCCCTTTCGCAGCACCAAGTACAGTTTGTCTTAAACAACAAAAATAAAAAGTTGTGGCATGTGTATCAGAGATTATATATGGCATATCCTTTGTTTGTCTAAGATGTTATATCGGATAAACTAAACGAAGTATAAATGATAGAATGGCAGAACACAAAACATGTATAAAAAACGAGAACCCATACTCGGAACTATTAAAGCATATTGCCGATTGTAACAAATGTGTGCCACTGTGGAGTTAAACCGCAGTGGAGTAGCGGGAGAAGAACGATCACAAGCGCTTGGTTAAAGAGTCATTGACAATCTTAAGCCATAGAAACGTTGTTAATAAACCTTCGTTTTGCTTAAGTCCTGAACTGAGACGGTTCCTAGGCCTCTAAAGGTGATGACCTTGTGAGTCTACTGTGTTTCTGTTTCCGAGAAGCTAGGCTGACGTGAGTTTCTATGGTTCACACTGGTTTACCAGTCTTAGAATTACCAGTTCAAAGAGAGGATGATAGTGCTCTCTTAGCGATGATCCAGTGTTAGAAACAAGGTGGGACTCGCGACATCTTTTGTGTCTTTGGGCGGTCACTGAGTTTCACTGTTTCTGGGTTCAAGTGTTGGTTGCGTTCTTCGACGCTAGGGTGACGTGTTCATGATTAATTCGGTGTTACCGAAAGTAGTAGTACGAGTACAGGAGGGATTTGTGTTCGGTTAGCGAAGGTTCAGAGTAAGAGGGAAAAGGTTTGGCGACGTCATTTCGAATCTGTGGTAGGTTATGGCACTTTATGGTGTACTTCTGGAAAAAAGGTGTATTGGCTTCTCCCTTTTGTTTTCCTTCGACAAAGTGGCTACATAAGCACTTTTTGAAAAAAAAAAAAAATTCAGCTGTGTTCGAGATGTTTTAGTGTTCGTGACGTTTTTGCCCCTAGTCTCGGGGTTTATGTCATGTTCAATCCAAACCAGCTCGTGTGTGCTTTTACATTCAATTCAGTGTTTGTAAATCTAGCCGTGAACGTTTAAAGATGTTATACCTGCTTTGAGAAAGGATAATATTGGGTGCCTCAATACTAGCTGATGTGATTTAATAAATGTAAGCCGTTAGTCTTTTACATCAATCTGCAGCTTTCAATAAGGTCCCCTTTTCTGTTTTTGTAGTTTTCTTTCTTTGCATACTTCATTGGAAATTCTGGTAAAATATTTAATAATACTTGTGCGAGATTCACAGCGGGTTTAAATAAAGCTCAAATGTGTTAATTAACGTTATATACTGTCTTTTACTGCAAAAAAAGTAGTTGTAACACATAATTATGGTTTACTCTAAGTTGCTTTCAAGTCAGCTGCGTCCACAAAAATGTTCCCAGCTTTTTCTCAAAGTATAAAATTTGGGAAGTGATTTCTTCACCACGCATTCTTTTGTTATTCATCCCGTCAACTGTAGTCGTGTTCAAGCGTGATGTTTACTTGGTCTAATTCCTAAACTTTTCGGAACTATCTCAATTTGTTCGGTTATAACAACCCTTTATTCTTCAATAAACGCACAATTAAATCACAACCTTTAAGGTAGCCTGACTAATATTGACCAGAAACGGGCATGCTCAGATTTTCCTCTTCTTCGAGATTTGCTTATTTTTTTTAGAGCGGCATATTTTGGTGTATTGCATCATATAAAAAAAAATCGAAATACTTTATTGCTGATCGCAGTGACGTGCATCTTTCAGTCATTTGTTATACATGAGTCAGCATTGTTTAAAAAAATAGAAGCGCAGCTGGATTGCGTAACCGAACGATTAATTAAGAACTTTTACCGAGAGCGTCATCTCAAGATAAAAAAAAGCTTTGATAGCCAGCTTTTCTTTTTGCTTATCATTACCAGCCTAATAGCTTTCAATAAAAGGGTAAAAAAACTCCAAGACAAGCTATCCAAGCTTTTAGATATCAGACTTCAGGCATTTCATGAACCTATCTAGGAGCTCGGCTTGTGATAATCGAATAAATGTGTGGGCACTTAAAGCAGCACCGCGATAGGCACAGAGAATAGGGAGATTACATTATTAGACGCAAGATGAGTTGAAAACAAATCAAGTATCCAACAGGACAGTGGTCATTTTAGATTTTTTGTCATTCGTAAAGTGAAAAACTAAAAGTGTAATTTTGTTGACAGACGTTCGGCCACACAAAGATATTAGCTCCATAGAACAGTAACTTGTACACAAGAAGCACATTTCTGGGTGTAAACAACAGGCCACAGGGTCCATAAGCGTTTTAACAAATAAGTAATGAATGTAAATGGGTTTGATGCAAAAAAATATGTTCTGGCGTATATTTATGCACTTTTTCTTTATTGCCTATGCAATGCGCTTATAACGACATATTTGCATATGCTATGCATATATCATATGCTATAATATCAAATCATGCAGGCAAAGAGGTTAAAATCTTTAATTTTTACGAAAAATATATACGTTGTTCAGAACTGTATATTAGAAGAATGGCCCAAGCCGGGTGTTCGGATAATTTTTATTTCTCTAGTATGGAGCGCAGAAACGTCTGCGGTAAAAATGAGCGTTTTTTCTAACTGTCAAAGGTCGGATGTTTGACTCATACTCCTTTTGTGAATTATATCTCTACGTGATGTCCGTTTTTAGGCAGTTTTCATAGATCGTATTCCCCGTCCCAAAACGCTCTCCGCAACCCGCTACGATACTCGGATATATACAGTCAAGGCCATCGGCGCTCAGGCGCAGTAGCGGCTTCTTCGTTGCCGACGGCTTAGCGGAGCGGGAAACTTGGTCTACGAAAATTAGTTTTTGTCTCTTACTCTTTGGGCAGCGTTGAGAAGTTTTAAAGCGCGGCTCTTGGACGCCCGTTTCCGGGTTGAGCGGAGTCGGCATAACCGCGCTAAATTTAGCGGGAAAATGGACGTCCCGTAACCTCAACACCAATTCAATTCCTGGCTAAATTTAGCGGAGAAAATGAAGTGACATGACTTGGCGTCACGTCCCCCATTAACAAATTCAGTTTCTTCGCTAGAGTGAGCTTGAAAATTGACGCCACGTTATCTCAACAGCAATTCAATTTCCCGCTAAATTCAGCGGGAAATTTTGACGTAACGTGATCACAACTCCAATTCAGTTTCCCCGCTAAATTTAGCGGGGAAAATGACGTCACATGTCTTGGGGTCACGTCACTTATGAACAAATTCAGTTTCTCCACTAGATTTAGCGGGAAAATTGACGTCGTGTGCCCTCAACAGCAATTCAATTCCCCACAAACTGTATCGGGAAAATTGACGTCACGTGACCTCAACACTAATTCAGTTTCCCCGCCAAATTAAGCAGAAATATGACGTCTCATTTCTTGATGTCACGTAACTTATGAACAATTCAGTTTCAACTTGATGTCACGCGACCTTAAATTAAGCATTAAATTAAACCTGAGCTACCTCAGACATATCTATTCGAGTCGAATGCAGTTCAACTTCTGTATGGTAGCAGTAGCACAAGACTACCGAACCGCTACCTGTCTTTTAATTTAAAACGCGTTCCTTTCTTTTCTTGGGGAAGTGCTCGTTTGGCCGGAGGGAGGTCGGGAAGGGGGGATTTTAGGTTGGCTAGGGACCCGCGAGCCGCACTTTGACGCGCAAAGAGCAGCATGCAGCTCGTGAGCCGCATCTTGACAGCCCCTGTATGAATGGTCCGCAAAGAGTAGCTGGATTATGCAAGTGCCGTCGTTCTGCAGTTTCTTTCAGAACTTAGAAAATAAAACCCTCCTTGCCTGCTATCCCAGCAAGGCAAAAATACACAGACACCACACACACACACACACACACACACAAACACTAACGGTAATTTCTGAAGGTAAAGCTTTGGTAGCTCTCTGCCTGGTTAGGGGGTGGCACGGAGAAAAATAAACCCCAGCACAATTTAATACGCAAGTTATTTTCGCAAACTCAGGGAGGCTGGCACCTCTTGCGGAGCACATTTTCGCTTCGTTGAATAACCTCGCACGACAAAAAAAAAAAAAAAAAAGTAATTGATCGCTTGTGGCTCATTACAGAATAATTTAGGTTTGGGGTGTTCGAGTACCAAATAATTGTGACCAAATCAAATATCGATTTGAATCAAAGAAACAAGACGAGTAGATTGAATACTATTTTTTTACATGAAATCAAATGTTTACTAAGTCTCGTGCGAAAATAGCAGCTGCTGTGCATGATATGGGGACAACTCTTCTTCCGCACAATAACGATATTGCTGGCCGTAAAAGAACTGTTTACAACGATGTTCATACAGGTATTTCAGCAAAACATTTAAACATTATTAACGATAGTGTGGTTGAAAAAAAGAACTATTTTTGAAAACCAACTTTTACCGCAGTAAATGCCAGAAATTGTAGAAAATACAAAAATTGGAATCCTAATATAAATATGCTAAATAACATTCTAATTAGCGGCTTTCAGGTTCATGTGCAATTATAATTTTGTAGGCTTCCACCAAGGAAGGCTAAAGCAACCTACGAAAAAAAAAAAAGAAGCAACTGTGGATATATTCGCCGATGAACTTTGCGCTGTATATGGGCACGATTTACAATATTTGATATCACTTCAAGCAACTGTCTTATCACACACATTACAGCGCAAAGTTTGGCGGCGAATACGTCCAAACCGGTTGCATTTTATTTTACTCTCCATAAATTGCTTCAGCCCTCCATTGTGGTATCCTTCAAAATTCTAAATCCAAAATGAACCTAAAAGTCGCAAATTAGAAAGTTTGTTAGAAAGTTTTAGTTAATCTGATAGCGTGCAATTATATATTTTGCAATTCCTGGCGTCCCCCGCAACTAATAGTTGGTTTTCAAAGAGAGTTTTTATTTTTTCACCGATCCTACGTTTGCAATTTGTGAAGGCTTTCACTGAATACCCAATATATAAAACATAAGAAATTTTGCTGGTGAGAGAAATAAAGCTTGGTGCATTGCGCCTGGGATGCTTCTTTTCCTTTGGCCTATAAAGAAAACCCTAGATAATTGAAATTCTGTCTATCATTTGCCGGGCGCGTTAACTGGGTACTTTGTCATGTTTCAAGGGATTTTACTGTTCAGGAAAGAAAACAAAAATGCACGCGAACCGTGTCACGTTTGGAACAGCTGATTCGGGTGCTCCTCAAGGAGCTCTGAACTTTCCCATAGACATTTCGGCTCTTAATACACCATTCAGAAAATAGGTAATTAGTCGTAAAATTGTATAAATTAGGCTTTATTATAAAATAATCAAACTCTCGCAAGTCGCCTGCTAACAATATACAGTTGGTTTCATTGGCATAAAGCAATTCACTTTTGGAAAAAAAAAAAAACACCAGGCCGAATTAAGGGGATACTCTGTATTTCGAAATTCTCGTGTCGCTTCCCAAAGGCAGCCCGTCGGAATCAATGCATTCCGCGCTTCTTGAAATTAGGGAAAGAAATTAAAGTTCCTTTTTACACCGAAAAGTCCGTGCACCGAAACGTCCGCGCACCGAAAAGTCCGTGCACCAAACAAACCTCCACGAAACACTATACACCAAAACGTCCTACACCGAAATGTCCAGGCCCCACTCAAGCTATAATTATCATTTTTGAGCCCATGGAAAGCGCAAACGAAGCTCTTGCATAAAATATTATTTTCATTCACAATTTATTCTCATTGTGTTTTAGTATATCATCTCCATTCCTGTTTGTACGTCCGTGCTGTAAGCAAATAGGAAATAATACGATTGATATTGAACTGTTCGCTGATGTGAATAGTGTGTGCGGAGAAAAATACATTAACATGTTCTATTAAAACACATAATTGTAACGTTTTTACAGTTGAAGAAGCTGCAGTATAAAATCGGTTTCGGAGATAAAACAATCGACGAGGCCTATATTGAATCCCTCTATAAACACGTAAGTCAAGCACAAAATATCCTCAGACTGCAATGGATATATTTTTAATTATCACATCAAAAATAACCGGACACTTTAAGCAATAAACATATATATATATATTTCATTCAACCATCTGAAAATGAAATAGTGCTACCGGAATCATATAAATTAAAAAAAAAATCATGTAAGCTGTGCATTTGTTTTTCTAATCAAAATATCTGTCTTGAAACTCTACGTGCATACTGGTCGCCAATGCCTTAGCAATGAAAAGTATAGCAATATATTCTCCTACATAGTCTAAATGATTATTTTCTTCATCTGATAACAGTCGAATCTGAGTAATGGCAGTTAAGGAGGTGGCGTTTCACTTAGAAATTCTACGTACCATTAATTTTTTAGAATAAAAAGATAAACTTTTTTTAGTTACAATATCTGCATAGCCCGCAAAGAAAATAGCGATAGCTGTATTTCGTTTCATATATCAGAACGCCGGTGCGTCGAGCCGAATGAAATACCTGCAGTCTGAATAGCGAAATAAATACGGCTTATATAATTGTATAATCGACGTTATTTTGTCTTAACAATCGCTCTTGAACTTGACGCACAATTCGTGAGAGGTTTTAATATGCTTAAACACAAAAAGTCCTTGATGTGCATGTTATATTGACAGGCTTCCGGTGGGTGCAAAGTAGTTAAATTATTTCGTGTGAATGGGGCCAGCTGAACACAGAAAACACACAGAGAAAAAAAGTTATAACATTCGCACCGCTGGTGCGAATGTTATAATCTTATCTAAAGCGGGCAAATGTTATAATTTTTTCTCTGTGTGTTAGAAGTTTTCCTCTGCGAGTTTTTTTTTATTTCAGCTGGCCCCACTCACAAGCAGTGAACCAACTTTCTCAGCTTAAGCCTGTAACTAGTTAAATCAATCTAGTCTGGTATTAGTGTGAAGTAATAGCTTACAGCAGAGGGCGCCAGATCGGTCCTCTTATTACAAATCGATGTTGCTCAAATTAAGATAAAATTCACTGCACTTGCTTTCTTTGGGGGGTTGGAGTTACCAAGAAAACACGAGTCTCCTTTCTTCACAAAAATGTACACGGTCGTCCTAAACAAACAGAACAAATATAATTGTGACGTAAATATTCTGCTGTCAAACGCCAGGTCCTATAAGCTGTAGACAAAGTATCCTTTGTGAGTCAGTATGCAACATAGCACGAATGACATAACCATCGTACCGCTTCGGCTCAGTGCTGCCAATAGGTGGCTACCTTAGTCTGTAGCTTTTAAAAATTCAAGAAAAATGTAATTCTACAAAGCTTCAATATTACCTCCTTAACATAGGCGTCTGCGGGAAATACAGTTAACAAGGCGAACACAAGCGAATGATTCGCCAATATGCTAAAAGTATATTTAGTCGTTATTGTGAATTATTCTCTCAATATGAGCTCAAAGCTCCCACAATCTGCATGAGCGTAAAAGCGCCATTCGAGAATGGCGTTTCCGACGGCTGTGCAATAGTTGCTTTGGCAAACCCAACAATGTTTGGAGTGAGAAAATAGTTTTTCCTTTGGAATGTGTCCTTTCTAAAGGTTGGTACGTCTGCCAACATGTTCTTAGCACCGCCAAATAAATTGCGATGGCTAATGGGTCTATCATATGTGGGAGACTGTACACAGAAGCTTTAAAAATGTCTATTCGACCAGTGCGATAGCACTAGATGTGGTGGGGAAGTTACATAACATAACCACCCTGAGGCTATTTGTAACTCCAACTTTATAAATTTAATGTCCTTTTCTCCGCTTCACATTTCGACTACCAGGTCACTCCAGGCTTCGCTGCATATTTTGGATACGCGATAGCTCCATGCTTTTAAACTTCACATTTTTTTTCGATTGGTGGCGTTGCCTCCTGTTCTTCCTGTTCTCAGCATACCAAGGCATCTAGAAAGATGCTTCATAAACACACGCTGCAGCTACTCTTAAATGCATAAAGGAACTCGTCACTGAGCTTCGAAATATTTACGGAGCCCGCTTTGTAGATTCATAGTCCGCACACAGCGTAAAGTAACTACATAGCTTTGTTAAGTGTGCCATTTCGGTGGCACATGTAATCTTAAACTATCTTGAAATGGAACCTTTATTCAGTGAAGTTGACATTTCACATGTTTGTAGGGCACACAACAGGTTACTCCTTAAGTGTTGCACATAGAAGTTGCTATGAACGGAATCGCTTTAGTTTACTGCATAAAAAGGACTTGAAAAACTAAGAGTTTTTTTTAAACAGCTGCCCACATTTACGGAGAGAACAAAATTTCCTACTATGTTCCAATATATTAGAAGAAACAACTTTCTAACAGACCTGGAGCAGCTTTCTGGTTTGATGGTTAAGAATGAGTGAGTATCACTAAATTTCTCATTGCCTTTTCATATGCGTTGATATTGCAGTATCCCAAGTATAGTTAATTTTTTTTTTAATTTAAATAAAGCGGGTTATGGTGTGGGCGTGAAACGTTATGCAGCCGATATTGCCTCAATGATATATATTTTGTTTTATTTGGAGGGCAGGCAATAATGACAATGAGTACTCACATTAGAAACAATGTTAGTTATGTACATAAGAATGAGAACGAGGAGAAATTATCTACTCAAAATCTAATTGCGCTTTATTTGCAAAGCATTGGTTTTAAATGCGGCAGCATTTATTTAAATACCCCCTCTCCCCCCTCACCTCTCAACTAGTCGTCACGCAAAAACGCATTTGCACGCACGGGAGAGTTAGTAGCGTATTACTTGAAAAGGAATGAAAAAAAAAAAAAAAACTCCAAACGTACCCCAAAGGGACGTGACCCAGAACCTCGAACTTCCGAGCCCTATGCTCGTCTACTGTGACAAAGGGGAGACTGGTGACGCGACAGACATTTTTCTACACGAATGAAGCCTGAATCACACATTACGACTAAAGAACACACTGGTATATGGCCCCATCTGTCAAGGAAGCCTGGAAGGCTTCCAATCAGAATATGAGTAAACTGAACAATTTTAACTGTTTTTTGTGATCGAATTTATGCACTCTCTGCAAAATGGCCGGTTACATTAAACTTTGACAACATTGTGAAAGAATGTTGATTAAATATGATCGAAAATATACTCAGATCGGAATTCTATTCCGTATCCAGCATTGAGTTTCCATCAAAATTGTTCTGTAACAAGGCGGTCGCTCCTTAGAGATTGTCAGAGGTGTTCTTTAAAAGCCGGTAATATCCATCGTTGACATCATGCGGATAACATGGGCGAGTCGAAAAACCCGCTAGATTGCGCGAATGTATTAGCCCGTAGTATGTAGTCACGAGCGGTCGTAAGAAACACCAACGCCGCCAGTCATTTTCAAGATCCTGCAGTCTTTAGGAACACGATTGTTCTCTTCTTTTCGCGCGCATGCGGTGATCAAGGGGGGGGGGGGGGATTTTGCTGGATGTGTCGCAGTCTTCAGAATACCTCGTGCGAGGAAAGGGCGTACTGAAGAGGATGTCAGCTTGGGCGAGTTGGTGAAGCACGTACTGAGGATAGAATTGAAGAACAGTAGCGGCAAGGCACTCGGTATGATAATCCATATTTAAAAAAAAAAAATGGGAGGCTATTGAGCCTTAGTTACTCGCTATAGACCAACACGTGACCCTGACGTCACGCAAGTGCGGTGGCGCTGTCAACGGCACTGCGCATACGCAGACGCTTCGCTTCACGCGAATTCGGTTTCTGCGCACGCGCAGTGCCCACACCTGGAGTGGGCAAACGCGGGATTTGTTTGTAAACAGCTTGTCGGTCTATATGGTCTTTCGCAATTTAATCAGCGAAACATAGTTTTCATGATAATGTAGTGATTTGCGCAGGCGAGCTGGTGGATGTTAACCATTTTATTCTTAGCCCGAGACTGAGGCAGGAAAAGTGGAGAGTTTCAATGTAGAAGAAAAATGAACAGTCGAGGAAACGTCTTTAACACAGCTCTGTGTTAGAGACGTGCCCTCGACTGTTCATTTTTCTTCTACTTCGAAACTTTCCTCTTTTCCTGCCTCAGTCTCGAGCTAAGAACAAAATAGTTTTCATAGAAGTCCTCCAATCTAATCGCATTTGAATTTTTACATATTATGTTTGGAAGCACCATGGAAACACAGGTGAGCACTTTAGCTGGATGGGCAACCACTGGTATGAATCGTTAACGTTTCTATGAATTTAATTTCTATAAATATTAGAGAACTGCTATTTTGATTTGAGCTTCCAAAACATAAACGGAAGAGTTGGAAAATAAACAAAACTTATGTGGGTATTTGTCACTTTCTCTTCAACAGTTTTCTTTGAAAACGTTGAGGCCCCCGTCTGAATAAGTGTAATTATCTAACATCTTGTTTACAAAGAAAAACACAATTTGACTTCTTGACTTTAATGAAAAGGTTTTGGTTGTGCTAAATACCATTTCTATAATTAGCGGTGTAAACGGAAGTTTAGAGTGAAGCAAGTTTTTAGCTAGCTGCCGTTACATTATGTTTTGTTCCCAATAATAATTACATTATCTGCTTATAACATAGGTATCGCATTGATAAAATGAAATAGCGGTGCCTGTTTTTGTGTAGTGAAACAATACAACTTGTTTGCCGTGTTCAATAACTATAAAATTAACTCTCCAGCCTCAGTATTAGTAACCGTTGGGAGTGACTTCTTCCATTTTTGGTTTAGGTCGCAATGAAACAAATATTTGACGCTTTCCTTATCTTTGGAAAAATCTCTATTTTAAAAATCTCATTTTGAAATTACGGTTATTCGCTTCGTAACAAAAGTTTAAATCCTTATGTAAGGCTGTGATACATTCAATATTCCTTTATGGCCCTAATATTCTCGAATGTTGCACTTAACAATCTACTTGTTAAGAAATGAAATTGTATCAATGACTGTTACATGCGTAACATATAAAGTAAAAGCTATTTACAATGCGTGTCTATTTCAGCGCTACTTATATTGATCCATTTGGTGATCACATGTTTTATGATGCAACAGAGACTGCACTAGGTAGGCAAGCACTTTTATCGGTCTCTATCCACGGAATGCGCGCAGGAGCCCCAGACTAACATACTTCTACGTTGCGACATGGCATTTTGTTGCAGTCCTTCCCGCTGCATATTTATACCGTATGGGGTTTCGATCCGGTCTCCCACCGTGAGTATTTTTAAGCTGGTTTTAATAATAGGGAAATCCCTTCGCATAAGACTCTCCTCCGTTTGATATTACTTTTGTTATCGGTTTCCATAGGGAGTCAAAGTTCGGAGGCTTGGGGATGATTATTTCGACCGCAATTGTCTCTCAGTTTGGACACGAAGGTAAGATCAGATATTTTTGAGTCATGAATAACCAAACGAAACCCAACTTAATTTAAGTTTAACTGAATATTGTGGATCTGCTTTTTCTGGGCAATAAAACTTGAAATTGATACATATGTTTTGCGATCGAATATGTTGAGTGAAGTTTTTCACGACTTAACTTCAAATTACTTCAAATTAAAACATGTTTACGCGTATAGGGTATTTATAAAATGGCTACATTTATCGGTAATTCAATTTATCGTTACATACCCTAGCTAGTATTGTCTTGCAAATCTACTGAAAGAAATTTTTCCACACATGTTATGGATGTATTTTGATCCATTCGTGCGTACGTTTGCTAAATCTACCTTATTTCAACATAACGAACTAATGCTTCTGGCAAGTATACAGCGCAAGTCGTGCCATCAAGGGGACTCGTGATTAGCTAGTAACAATATACGTGGTCTGGGCACCTATCCCGGCAACTTTTTGTCATGCACTTTTTATGTTTTTATTGTGATGAGTTTTTCTTAAAAACTTAAGTACGTCTAGGAAGCTGACAACATCCGTCTTCTATACGGGCATACCACGCCTGCCAACGGGACACTTTCTTCGGTACAAATATTACCTTACCGCACAAATAGTCTGAGTGCAGGCAAACCGGGTAAGTTGAACATGATAATAAACCTGACTGGGGTAGCAAAACAGAAAATGTGAAGGAAAGAAATGGAAAGCGCAAAGGAAGGAGGGGTTGCCTTGATAATAATGGACTTAATGCAAAGGTGCAAGCAAGCTGGACAAGATTGACAATAATAATCCCTGGAGATGTGAAACAAGAAGGACAAAGGACAAACATGAGTCTCTAAATACAGCTAGGTGACTAGTACGTCACTGAAAAAATCCGCCTGGTGCTGATATCCAACCAGGGACCTCTCCATTTCTAGTGGAGCGCTCTACCAAATGAGCTAACTAGGAGTTAGTCGTCATTAGTGCAAACGGGTTTTTACAGCGGCCACCAGTCTAACACCAACAAGGGTGAACGGACTACATTTTAAAGGGGCACTGACACCCGAAAATTTAAACTTTTTTTATTGTCTAAAACGATGCAAGTTGCAGTCATATACACGCAAAAAATACCGCATCGCGAAAAAAAATTTCCCGCGCGCGCGTGCGCCTTTTTATTTTTGGCGTTTGATTCTCCCGCCTCTCGCCTCCTCGCTTCTTTTGATTCGTGACGTCAAGAATCATGAAATTTAGAAGATTTGTAGGCGACATCTCTATAACATTTAATAACGGCAGTCCTAAAACATGTTTTTTAACGCAACTGCGAACGCACTATGGCCATTCTTTCTGAAATACCAAAAATCGGGAGTTCGTTGTGGTGCCGTCTCCTGTATTTGTATCCTCCCACGGAAAACAGGCGACACCGCTGAAAACCGGTCCGGCGGCGCTCGATCGCTCCTTTCCTCCTCGCTTTGGGTCGCCATGGCAACAGCAGTGAGTCGTGAAAGAAAGTAGACTCTCAGGACTCCGCAATATTTGACGTCAACGCACCGGCGCGGATAGCGCGGGAACTTCAAATTCGGCATTTGGACATTGTTTTTTTACTTCATGAATACTGAATTTCCAAATTTCGAATTTTGAGCGTAATGTCCCGGCATCGCTTTCAATCGTTGCGGATAATAAAAAAAAAATATGATTTTGATGTGTCAGTGCCCCTTTAAGGTTATGAAGGTAATGAAATTAATGCAAAGGAGCAAGCAAGCTGGACAAATAGAACCGTAGTAATCTCTGGAGAAGGGGATTGGGGGACAAAGGGACAAACATACATTTTTGAACAAACAGAGCCAGGTGACTAGTGAGCGACTGAGACAATCCACCTGGTCCTGGTATTGAACCAGGAACCTCGCCATTTCCATTCCTACACAAGTCCCAGGTTTACCATCATGACTACCTTATTCTCTCAACATTCTTTTACAAATCGGGAGTTTAATTAGGTCGCATCTAAGTCTAATTATTTTTGTTTGCAGAAAAATACAACAGTATGCATTATCCTCTCAAGTATGACTGTTACGGTAATCAGATATGTGCATTTTCTACGGCGAGGGACAATCCGAACATACACGTTTTTATATTCTACATACAAATTTCAGATAAAGTTTATCCCTCTGTCAGAAAGAAAATGCGAAGAAGATTTATTTTGTATTTTGTCTCATATGTAATTAAATGTATATCTTAAAGGGATTAGATAACTGCGAATCACAGAAATTTCAATTTGACAATCGGAAAGAGATAATTTGGATACTTGAAGATATTGTACTCAGTGCACCTACAGTATAAATGTAGCATCTCCTTAGACGAATAATTAAAATTATAAAAAAAAAACAAAGGGTGTTATAGTTCGATTAGGCGTGAGATCTCAGCACCGTTGAAAATTGGGCGAGTTGGTTATGCATAGTTACGAAGAGAAAAACAGCGCCAAAAGTAGGAAGGACTTTTGGCGCTGTTCAGCTCAGCAAGCGCCCTAGCTCTCCCTCTTTCTGCTGTCATTTATGTCCCGCATAGGCATTGTTTGCCAAGAAACGTCCCGATAGCACTACAACGGCGAGCAAGAGCAAAACGAATGACAAGGTAAAGATTCTAAACAGCGTCCCAAGGAATTTGAACCAGCAACAAAATTTGAAGTCCCAGGACTCTAAGGAACATGCGTTTTCAATAAATAAGTTTATGAGTTTAGCTTAGAATAATATTTTTGTAGGTTGTAAAGTCTCTCAAATGTGCGCTTTAACTATTGTCAAAAAGTTGTGTTTAAGATTCGCCAACACCTTTTTGCGACCCTTTCGGAAAATGGAATGAATGATGGTTAAGTCTGTCACGCCAAGATGAGAAATGAACCGGGCTAGAAGTGCGATCAGGGGCTACAGAACCGGGAAGGGGGGGAGGGGGGGGGGGCAGGGGGGGCAGTGGGGGCAGTCGCTCCCACAAGTTCTAAACCAGTGGGGGCATGCGCCCACACTAAAAGCTGTTCCGACCGCCCCCCCCCCCCCCCCTTCCCCTCTTCTCCCCTCCCACCAGCCGTGAGGCTGTTGCAAGTTGCAGCTGCGCTACACAGGCAAAGAGGTGCCACAGGGTAATTCGACGCGATGTGCGAAAAGTGCCAACAGAAGGCTATACCGCGTTAGAGCCTCCGCTGTGCTGTTACTATCGAGGCACTCCCTGTCGGCACTCGTTAGTGTCACGATGCAGTACTTCGCCTTCACCGCTCCTATATATATATATATATATATATATTGTGACGAGGACATACTGCACGAGTCTTCGAGGACGTGCCGTCCTGGGGGAAGAAGAGAAAGAAGGGCAGACTGGAGCGAGCGGCAATATATACCGGACGGTCATTTTGAATTCTATCCTCCAATATCCGTGTAAATAATAAATCCCCATCACTGAATCCCACTTCTGCTAGAATTGGTAGAGAGTGCGAGCTTTCCCAACTTGGACCTTACTCGCAAGTATAGTTCCCAACCCTGGAACTCCGCAATCGGCGGCCACCATCAGCAATGACAGGCGAAGGAACCTCGGATGCTTCAAGGGCTACCTCCAACCAAGGACCTACGACTATTTTGTGTACCGGAGCCATTCGCCAACATGACTCGAAGCTCTTCAGCGGGATCGGCGGCGATGACATTGATGGTTGGTTGGACTCCGTGGAAAGGGGTAAGCCTTCATAACAAATGGGATGATGTGCTGAAACTAAATAACGTTATTTTTTATTTGACTGACGTCGCTAAATTATAGTACACCAATCACGAGTCAGAGCTGGCGACCTGGACTCTGTCCATATAAAAAATTCAGGAAGTATTTGGGAAGCCAGCCCAGTGAAAGCTGATAGCAAAAAGAACCCTGGCATCACGGGTTCAACAAAACGATGAAAACTTCGTCAGCTACATTTAAGATGTGCTCAAATTGTGCAAGCGCATTGACATACAGATGCCGGAAGACGAAAAACTGAAAAACATCACGAAAGGAATTGTTGAAGACGGATTTCAAATTCTTGTCGTCAGACCCCCAGCGACCGTCATTGAAACCATTGATACTTGCCAAACGTTTTCTGAGCTGCGCACCCAGCGTTTGCCACTCAGCCGCGAGCCGCAGCCTCCCATGAAGCAGGCTAGCCTTGAACGACGCAGCGGAAAGCCCTTCTAATAAATTGGGTGACCTTCGATACCGCATTCAGGAAATCGTCCGCGACGAAGTAGCTCGCCAACTAGGAAAGCCTGCCACTTCCCCAGAGCCCTACGTCTCACCTTCCCTCAGAGCGCTTATTCAAGAGCAAGTCACAGCCGCTATCCCTTGCCCTGCGATACCGCCCACCATGCCAATGCCGCTCGCGCCTACGTACGCCAAAATGGTAGCGCGCCCACCACCCATGCCTGTCGTCCAACCCCAGCATTAATTTTTCCCCCTCCCTGGCAAGGACGTAGAGCCGACATATGAAGGACCCCGGAAAAACGACCAATTTGCTTTTCATGGGGTCTGGTTGGACATGTCGCTTGATTTTGAAGATGCCGGCACACTGAAAGTTATGGTCGCCCACCACAAGCTCACTATCGACCAGGCTTCGCTAATAGTTGTCGAAGTGATGTTTTCCAAGATTACTCTCACTACCAACGGCAACAACGACCAAGCAGATCTCCGTCATTCAGACGACGCTCTCTGTCTCCTCTCCGCCCATGTACGACATCTCCCGCTCCAGAGGGAAGCTGCTCCAGAGGCAAGAATTATTCCAGAGGCAAGGACTGCAAATCCTTGTAAATCATTAAGTCCTCGCCCTATTACACGAAATATGATTGATATTGTAATTGATGGTTTGCACGTTCAAGCATTAAATGACACCGGCGCTTCAGTATCAGTCATTCGGGTTGACATCTGTAATCGCTTAAGGAAAGTCACGACCCCTCTTTTTGGACGTCCATTTAGAGCTGTTGGTGCGCAAAACATTGTCCCTACCGGTGTCTGCA